CTAGCCTCCAGGGTTATGGCTCGGTTGGAAACTTTCACAACCTGACTACTGATTTCAGGTGAGTAATGGAGGATTTGATTCAAACTCGCAAAGATGGGTTGTACTATATTGTGTAAATGAAAAATGAAAAACGGTCTAATCAGCTGTCCGGTGGGCGAGTGGGTAGCATGCTTGCGTTTTGCCTGTGAGGTCTCGAGTTCAATCCCTGGTTGGGTCGATGGATTCGCATTGCTGATGAGACCCAACCAGGTCGAAACAGCTGTCCAATGATAACTAGCTTTTCAGTTCTCGCTGCATTTGCTATATACACGACGAATTTACCTTCGATTTTGAAGAGTGCTGGGCAGCAGGTTCATTTCGGCGAACTCTCTTCAACCGTATTGCATGATTTCAAACTGGTTTTTCGTATTTTTTCGACAACCACATCACTGAGACTGATCAACTCTCATCACATCATGATAAACTCATTGATACTGAGGACAACAAAGTGCAATGTTTATCATGATTCTGATAAGCTCATTCATTCTGGAAAGTGCTTCCTTAAGGGTGCGAAATACCAACAATCACACTTTGTTCGCTGTCGGTGAAGAGAACCCTGAAGCGAGTCACGTACGAGGATGCACTATTCAGTCATAGCTCAGATATGTCGGGGTGAATGAAGTCTGGTTATGTATTAGTGAATGAGCCTCTCATTGCACCCGTGAACCTATGAGGTTAAGGTCATGCATTAGCGATTGAGTTCCGGAACCCCTGCAATAAATCTAAGTAGGTGAATGGCTCGCGGTTTCAGGACATCTAAGCTTCGGCAAGCAAAACAAAATTGTCTACGAGGACCTAAGCTAAGCATCTTATTATTCAATTCCGGCAATAAGTACCTCGAAGTGATAGGGACCAAAATACTGGGACCTTGGATGTACACGTCCGTTTCGCATATCCCCGATGTTCGTGATTAAGAAAGGTGAAATCATTATCACCCTTAATGATAGTTCCTCACAGCGACAAAGCAAGTTATATGGATTAAAAGGCAAAACAAATGGACTTCTAAGTGCAACTGTGTTGGTGATATTCGACGTTGAGAAAAGGTCCATTCGTGAACGACCATGATGAGCTCATGTATATTATATGACCTGAACAAGAGCAAGGTATAGTAGATCCGGTTCATGTTGAAGGCGCTGTCACGGTCTGCGATGGAAAGAAGGAGCATCCAACTCCGGAAGTAATCAGATATTTCACTCTGAGTTCAAAGTATTGAATCAGATTTTTCTCTTCTCTATTTCAGATAATCGTCTGAAAACCACAGTCTGTAACAGGATCACAGGTTCACTCAGGTAGATTGTGTAATCGAACTGTCGCTACTTCACTGAAACATCCAGATTCCGACCTCAACCATACCTTCGTGCCAGGTCTTACTTTTATCATCCTTGGCTTTTTTCTACCTGCCTCGGCTAACATTGCTCGCCTTGGCAACCTATTTCGTAGCTTGCGTGTCATACACCCCTACCAACGTTATCACACGAAAGATCAAGACATCAACAACATCAAGATTGTTCAGCTCGCTGCCCGAATTTAACCAAGAATAAAAACTTCTGGGCTCTAATGGTAAAGTGTCAATAAGCACAGACGAGTATTCCTAAAATTCCTCAAACTATTTTGAATCTTCTTAGAAGTATGTCTGGGATTTAGGGCTCAATAATTAAAAAAAAATAAACATGGTGGAATATAGTTTTGTCACCACTTTGCTGCATTTGGTGTCTTCCCGAGGTAGGATAGAAGTCTTTCGCACTCTCGTGAAAATCAAAATCTAGCACTGTCATTAATAAAATTCCCTTCGTTTTGCCATATATGGTAATCATTTGCATCACTGTGTATGACGGAACCGAAACCACCAGGTCACCGAGAACCTATAACTAATATTTTTGTTATGCTCCCTGCTCGAACATTTGACTTTCCATTGCTATTATTGTTATTACGAACACGTGTGCCTACAACAAACTGTGACACAATACGTTATCTTTATTTCAGACCGTTCTGCTGTTAATATTATTACGAACAAAGAGAATTCCGTGAACTCGTAACCCACGCAAACTGTAAATCCCCGTTTGGCTATTATTTTTATATTGTTACCTTGTAGTGTGTTACCAATTGAATTATATTGCCCAAAATCGTCTTCTGCCTTCGCGCTACAAATGGCATCGCGGGCAGGATCGACCAAGAAGCAAAACGGCAACGATCTGGAAGAGTAGCCCGAGCGAGCTGAGGACATGAATTCAGAAACTAGCCCCGCGACGGGCATCAGCGAAATGATCAGTCAATTTTTATCGAAACTTATCACCGGCGACTCGTTCCCATTGGAGACGGTTCCACCACTCCCGCCACCCAAAAAGTTCACTATCGGTGGAAATTATGCTCGTTGGGAAGTGCAGGCGCGTGCTCACGTGCAGAAGTTTCTCGAGTCGGAAAGGAAAGTGACAATTTTAGGCCTGTTGGCCGGTGAAGCGGCCGATAGGGCCTTTCAGTCGAGTGCATTCAAGAAGGAGGATCTCGATGGGGTTTTTCGAAAACTACGATGCCTCCTTGACACTCCACTCCACCCAATCGAGTACCAGTCACAATTCCACTCGGAAAGCCAGAACATCGGGGAGACCGTAGAAGCATACGCCTATAGCGTCAAGCAACTGGTGTCCAAGGCTTTTTCCGACGACAACAGCGAAGCCCAGGATAAGCGTGCTGTGGAATGTTTTGTCGAAGGAGTCATTGGTGCGTCAGTCAAGAAAGCGCTGATTACAAAATCGCCTAAAAGCCTCAGGGAGGCTATTGCTCTGACAGGAGGAACGGAGAGGTTACAGCGAGCTGTTCATGGAGCAGAGAGACTCTGCATTGCCGTGCATCATCGAGGTCAGCAGCGAGAACCAATCCGGAGACCGTGGGGGCCAAGGCCTCATCAAGGACCGACTAGCGGTAGATACTGCTACAACGACAACGACTATCGGCGACGATGGAGTACTCAAAGCGATACCCCAACCCCTCCCAGCGGGCAAAACCACAAGGGAAATCCCTCACATCCGGTGACCAGACGAGACCCAGCGGACCACGGTGAGTATATTGTTCCTACTGTGCACACCGTTCACGAAAATTTAACGTTTGATATTGACTTGCTGGTAGAAGCGCTACCAATAAAAGGACTCGTGAATACGGAGACACCGAGGTCATTAATCGACGT